TGCCCGGGGCCCGCCCGGCGGTTGTAGCCGGTGAAGAGGTGCTTGAAGAGCCGCTCCTCGGCGTGCCCGGCGCTCCGCTCCTGCGCGCGGCCGCCTGCGGGGACACAACGAGGGGGACGGGGACAGGGCAGAGCTCGCGCCACGTCCCCTGCTCCGCGCCGGGCTTGGAATGGGGGAATGCGGCTCCAACAGAAGAGGTGGGAAGCAGGACCTGGGAAAGGCTCATGGACATCATGGTCCTTGGCAGGGAGCTGGGAGATGAACCCCCTGTCCCAGGGTCTGGGGGGTCTCTTGCTGCCCCCCTGGAAAACTGGTCCAGGTTTGCAAGCTGTGGGCCTGCAGCTGAGCCCGTCCTGGGGGGATGAGTGAAGCGGGCTCTGAAGCGGGCGATGAGCTCGCGTGTCCTTGCTCGTTGCGGGCTCCGTAAATTTCTCCCGTTGGAGAAGCACCAAGGACGGCCAGCGAAAGGCGGAATGGAGATGGATGGGGCCAGAGCAGGAGAAGAAACGGACAAGTCCCAGGGACCATGATGGGAGAGGGAGGCAAATTCCCATGAACTGCAGAGGACGGAGCAGGGCTCCTGGAGGAGGGATTTGTTCCCGGGCCTGCGATAGCCGCATGGGAAGCAGCGGGAATGGGATGTGGATGCCGCAGGGAATGGACACAAGCCTTACCCGTCTGCAGGACGGCAAAGCAGCAGGCGACGAGGACCAGGAATACCGGGGACCGCAGCTCCATGGTGCCTGCGACGTCGTCCCAATTCCCAAGAGCGGCTCCTCGGCCGGAGCAGGGCCGGGAGCAACGGGAGCAGCGGCAGCGCAGGGGCGTCCGGCAGCTCCTGGGGAAGGGGAGAAGCGGCGGGTGCTGCCGTCAGCGGGCGGGGGGAGGGTGGGGGCCCCGGAGCCGGAGGGGGCCGGGACGGTGCCACCTCCCGCCTGGTGGCCCCAGGATTCCGGCTGCTGGCACAGCCTGGGGCTTCTGGTGGCCCTCGGGGGTTGCCCGGGACCTGGGACGTTGCAGTGCTGGCAAGGAGGGAAAAGGGCCCCTTCCCCAGCCCAGGAGGCTCTTTGGGGAGCTCCTGTCCCAGCTGGGCAGCTCCAGGCGAGCCAAAGCCGCAGGACGGCTCCGTTTCTGCAGGATCTTGGCTCGACGCGGGCTGAGCAATAACACCGTAAAATCTCGAAACTGGCTAATTTCGAGCATCCTTCTGCCCTCCTCGCCTGAGGACCGTAGGGAAAAGGGCCCCTTCCCCAGCCCAGGAGGCTCTTTGGGGAGCTCCTGTCCCAGCTGGGCAGCTCCAGGCGAGCCAAAGCCGCAGGACGGCTCCGTTTCTGCAGGATCTTGGCTCGACGCGGGCTGAGCAATAACACCGTAAAATCTCGAAACTGGCTAATTTCGAGCATCCTTCTGCCCTCCTCGCCTGAGGACCGTGTCGTTCCCGACAAGAAGCTTCTTCCCAGGCTGCCTGGGGCTGGGAAACGTCCTTGCTGTGTCCCCTCTCGGGAAGGTGTCCTGAGCCGTCCCGCTTGCTCCGAGCCAGGGAGAGCAGAGATCCCGATCCCAAGCACTGGAGGGAAGGAGCTGCTTTGGCTTCACAACCGGTGCTGTGAAAGCCGGGAGTCTCCGACCCGTCAGCTCCTCGAGAGCCTCGGGAACAGCGGGAGCCTGGAGCCAGCGCACGGAGCCCTGTGCAGAGGCTGCCAGAGGGGTGGGATTTGGGGGGGAAGCAGGAACTTGGTGCCAGGCTGGAAATATTTCCCTGCTGCTCTGCTCCCGGAGCTGTGGGGCAGCGTGTCCCCCGCCCCCTTCCCCCAGATCCCTCTTACCTGTGCGGTGCCGGGGATGCTGCGCCCGGAGCGCTCCGGAGAGCTCCGGTGCCGCCAAAACTTGGGTCCCGCCGCCGGCTGCCGCGGCTCTGGCTCGTGCGGTGACGCCAGGGAGGAGGCAGGACCGTGGAGCGGGGGGGGACAGGGACAGTGGGGGGACACGGGAGGGGCTGCGGGACCAGAGTGCCCGGGATGGGATGGGATGGGGTGGGATGGGATGGGATGGGATGGGATGGGATGGGATGGGGGGATCCGTGCTGGTGCAGGGGGATCTGGGAATGTGCATGTCCCTGCGGCACCGGCTCCGCGGGCGCTGCCAGGTCCCACATCCCCCAGGCTGGGCAGCTGCCAAACCCACCTGGAAAAGGCTGCCCAGGGAATGGGGAAGGGAACTGGGGGCAGGATCTTGCATCCCTCCCCTGGCCGTGTCCATGTGTGCACAGGGACGGTGCAGACCCCAGCACTGAGTCATTCCCCCCGTCTGTGGGGCACAAATGTGGGATGGGGACCAGCACGGGACTGGGATGGGATCTGCAGGGCGAAAACGTGGGATGGGGACTGATAGGGGAGTAGAATGGGGTCTGTGAGCTGCAAAGATGGGATGGGGACCACCGTGGGTCCAGGATGGGGTCTGCAGGGTGGAAACGTGGGATGGGAACTGGCATAGGCTCTGTAAGGTGGAAATGCGAGATGGGGGCTGACATGGGATTGGGATGGGGCGCAGTCCTAGCACAGGGGCCGTCCCAGGATGCGGATGAGGCTGCCTCCAGAGGAAGCGCAGGACAGAACCGCGGCCACGCGGGAAGAGCTCGGGATGGAGCCGGCGCGTTCCCCAGGGCCGCGCGCTCCTTCCTGCACACCCGCCAGGGCGGCAATTGCGGCTCCCGCGGGATCTGCAGCTTCGCTCCCTTCCTTCCGTCGGGGGTGGATGGCGCCGCGGCCACGATGCCCTGGATGCAGCCGCGGGAAGGGCTGCGATGAGCTGGCAATCCAAGAGCTGATATCCCGGGCCAGGATAAAAAGCAAATGCATCTCAGGGTTCCCATGGATGCCCGCAGTGCACCAGGATGCACACGTGCATGCACATGGGTGCACGTGCGTGCATGAGGGTGCATGTGTGCATGCACGAGTGCATGCACATGTGTGCATGCACGATGGTGCACCTGTGCATGTACGACAGTGCACGTGTGCATGCACATGGGTGCATGTGTGTGCACGAGGGTGCAAATGTGCACGCACAAGGGTGCACATGTGTGCACAAGGTTGCACATGGGTTCGTGCATGAGCCCGTGCATGGTCCGAAGCCTCCGTGCATCCCTGTCTTCTTTCGTTTTTGACCCCTTTGGGCTGCTCTGACACTGCTCCATGGAGCAAACCCTCTAAACCAGCAAATACCCTAAATAAATTTTATAAAGCCCTGTCTCAGCCACCACTGAGACCCCAGAGCATCTGCCTGGGAGAGCAGCCGGTGACAAAATTCCTCTTGGCGATAAGATTAGCAGGAGCGGAGGAAGGATCCCGAGTTCCCTCTCATTAGTGGGAGGATGAAGGTGGTGGATCTGATCAGCGGGTGCTGCTGCACCCTGGGGTGCTGTGGGGACCACGCAAGGCCAGGGGCTCCGCAGGATGGACA